TCCTCATTGCCGTGGAAATCTTCTCCTTTCATTCCTTAGAGGTGGTTTAGTGGGTTAAAATCCCACATGGTGGCTTTCGATGCTTCCACCTACTGCAAAAAAAAAAAAGAAAAAGAACAAAAAGTCACTCATGAGATAGCCCGTTTATCCGTCGTTCCACTTCAGATTTGAGCTTTTATTCAAAATTCGTTTTCTCTACAATTCTCGTTTGCAGAGGTATTAATATTTTAAGAACTTGTGTTTAGCAGACCGCTGGGTGTATTCATACTAATAGTAGTTTTAAGTTATATATCAAAGTAACTGCTATTAATGTATTGGCCGATGCTTAATATATTAACAATGTTTAAAAATCTTGGTTTTATTTTTTTCTCCCAATTCATGTTTTTAAATTTTTTTAATTATTTAATCAGAAAATAATATTTTAGCTTTAGTTACGGCTCTCACGTATTCACAAATTAAGTTCATATTTCGAACTAACGAAACAAATCCAACCGCACAAACTTTTTCAATCTCTTAAGCCTAAAAGAAGATTTTAAAATTTCATTTTTCGTATCTCTTTTTGCGTGTATCTATGCTATTGTATCTGAAACTAATTTTGATTTTTCCCCGTCGACATACGTACGTACAAACAAGTCAGAGCAGCTCCCTTCGTTTTCTACTTTTGACTGTTAACTAATAGGTTTTAACATGTCGAAGGACGGATTAAGCCCGCCATACTATTCCGTACGGATACAAGTTTTACGTTATTTTGTGCAGGATATCGCTGCGTTGTTTAACCGGAAATTTGACTGAAGCATCTCCCATGTCGTTAACGGTAGCTGCCGCACGTCGACTTAGTCAACATTGGGGCTGTCATTTTATGCAACTGCTTTAGCTCTACTGCACTTAGTCAGTCATACTCACTTAACGCGGATGGTAATTTCGTCTATGTAGTCCTCGCAATAGCCGCACTTCAATCTACTGATTTCCTAATGCCGTAAGCGCTGCAACTCGCTTCCACTGTTGCAATGGCATTAAATTGTGTAGGTGGTTATAATGTTCTTATCCTTATGTTTTTTCATGTTCTTTGTTGTGTTTTATAATTTTTCTGTTTTCATATTTCGTAGTTACACGATGGGTTAAGTACAAGTTTTTTGTCTTTTTTTTTCATAATTATGAAGCAATTTTTTAGTTTCACAACATTTTCACCTCTTCTGTAAGAATACAGTAGTCGTACAGTAAGTCGTAGTAAGTACGGTGTGTTGGGATGTCAGTATCTGTTGGCTGGAATGACGCTGCAGTAGCTTAGCTCTGCTGGTATGTGGTAGTACCTTAAAAAATCTGCTGATATTGTAACTAAAGGGGCGGTATATTGTGTTCTGTGGATACGCTCCGGCTGTCTTTGTTATGTTCTATAGCTGCAGTTTACAACTCATGCTCGCTCTTCCCGTTCTCTTCCCGTTTTCCCAATTCGGTTTATAAAAAAATGCAGCTTTATGTCCACTCCACCACTGTGTTTAGCAGTTAAGTAAATGAAAAGCACTTGATGAGTGCATTTAGCGAAATTGTGTTGAGATTTTTTAATTAAGGTTGCAGTTTGTTAATGAAGTGACAATGAGGGATTTAATAATGTCATTTTGCTTCGCACCCCTCGTACTTCCCCCACTTTCGTAAAAATTTCACTGATTAAATTAATGTTAAAAGATTTCATATTAATTAATAATAGCTGAAGTGTAATATAAGAAAGTTTGCAGGATATGCAATTCCCTGCTATACAAGTTACTTACTGTGCTTTGTTACAATTTACTGAACAACAAACTTAAAGGATTTACTTCTTTTAATGAAATAAGTGTAATTCATATACCAACAACTGCATTTAGTTATATACTTAATTTTCAAAGTAATCTAAACTGCTTAAATTAAACACAATGCAAAGAATTAAGTGGAATTGGGTCACTAATATCATCCAGTTTTCGTCAAAAAACGCAGAAAGCAAAAGACGCAGAATATATAATATAAGGAGGGTATTCATTCACTCAATCTTGTAAACTGATTGCATGATGCATGACATGCATAGATTGCGCGAGTTTGCAATGGACAAGAACAAAATACAGGCACGAAGCTTCTTGCAATTGCTTGCAATCTTGCTATACCTATACTCAACGAATCAAAAAAAGGAACAAAAACAGCTGTTTTGATATATGTTGCTTCTCATGTGAATGTGATTTACGCTCTCTGAGATGCTCTCTTTTACTTGAAAATTTGCTAATGGAACGCGCTTGTGTATACACGAACCTATTATGATGAAATTAAGATTTGCTGTGTGAACAAGTATTTAACGAAGCGATTAATTAAAATGATAATTATATATACTATGTAATTGTAGCATTTTTAATGTTCGAGAGAAATGTTACGCTCTCTCAGATGCTCTCAGATACTCTTGTCTATACACGAACCTATTATGATGAAATTAAGATTTGCTGTGTGAACAAGTATTTAACGAAGCGATTAATTAAAATGACAATTACTTATACTATGTAATTGTAGCATTTTTAATTTTCGACAGGGATGTTACGCTCTCAGATGCTCTCTTTTACTCGAAAATTTGTTAATGGAACGCACTTGTGTATACACGAACCTATTATGATGAATTGAAGATTTGCTGTGTGAACAAGTATTTAACGAAGCGATTAATTAAAATGAAAATTACTAACACTATGTAATTGGTAAGAGATTTTTATGTAACAAAAAATTTTCTTTGAGCTACGATCTTAAAGCTTATTTTATTGTTTTTTTTTATCGTTTATCGCTATTTTAAGAATACAATTAAGCTTGCTGCTGAAAAAGTTTCAATAAATATGTATACAAAAATGTATTGGAAACAACATATTTTTTTCTGTAAATTCGATTTTAACTTAAACCTGTAAATCCAATAATGTCAAACAAAATATAAAGATCTCTTGAACATAATCTTCGACAACAAATTCGTTGCAGATTTATTTGTAAGAAATTTAAAGTGTTGGCAAATATGGCTTTTAGCAGAGTTGGCAACTTTCTTCAACCATAAGCACAAATATGTTTTCATTGAAGTTCGTTTATACAATTTATATATATTGTAGAAATGATAAATTGTCCCAGACAGATGCACACTTCAGGTTATGCCTGAATGCAAGGAGTGCATTCAATTCATTGCGTGCACACTGCTCAGTACTAACCAACATTATTTTAAATGTTAGCAGGACACTAGAATTGATTGCTTTATTATCTTACAACATAGGAGAATTGAAATATAAATTATGGTACAGCAGATACTGTATTCATGCAATTCACATGCAACTCGAAATTCTTCGCAACAAATGAGAGTGCAGTCGGCTTCCTTGCTTCGCTCCACTCGCATACTATTTATAGTTGCTCATACTCGTATCTTCTGTTACACAATTACCATATCGAAACTAAATTATTTTGATATATTTTTCAAACGCAGTTTATCTCTGAGCTTAGAGAATATAACCCAATAATTTTGTGCTATATTTTGCTTGAATACTCAGACCAAAAGTTCATGCAGATTGAATTGTTGTGCAGCAACAATGAGGCATTTTCCGGGTTTCAAAATGAACACCAACATCCTTTGCAATAATAAAAATAAATTTTCAATTATGAAAAATCTATCTCTGCAGTAGAAATTTGTTATTTGTTATCGTACTAGAAAATTTTTTAACATTTTGTAATAAATAATTTATATACATTTCTACAATATCATGGAGATGCAAATTTTTTGAATGAATAATTGAATAAAATCATGAACTGGGGGTGGCGAGTTTTAAGAGCGTTCAATTCCGCAGTGTTTTTTTTATTTCGAAAACCTATAAAAATTGTATGGTAGGATACATTGATACACCCAAATAAACATTTCTTAAAACTTCTCAATTAATTAATCCTTAAAATCTATTAAGCTAATGGCTTAAGCTATTTTTAAGCCATTTATTTATTTTATTAAACCATAAAAATATTGTGTAAACCAATATTTTCGTACTGCCCTGATATGGGTCCGGCTAACTTTCTTCTTTTCCCAAAACTCAAGTTACCACTTCAAGCTTTCATCACAGGAGAATATGTTGTGGGCACTGAAGTCGATTCCAACGAATCAGTTTAGAAAATATATTAATGTTACGGTGCTTTGTTGGCATAAGTTTATTATTTCTGATAGGCCTAATTTTAAGGCAATACAATAAATTTTGAAAAATAACACATATTTTGTGTTTAATAGATTAATTTCCGATACTTTCTTGACAATTATATATATAGTATAGTAAAGTTATTGTAATAAAATTAATTTTAAAAATTTATAGGAAGAAAACGAACGTGAGCAACTTATTCTTCATGCTCTCCAAGTAACAATTATATCATGCAGACAGTCCATTTAAATTCTCTGGGATTGGGAACATTTTCAGTATAAGCCCCAAGAAATGGTTAAAGAGTATTCGGTTGCAGCAAAGCCATTGCTTTTTATTTGACAGGTTATGCACTTGCAGTTCAATAATTTTATACAGACTAATGAAACCCAACATATAGTTCTAAAATTTACTAGCAATGGGATTATTGGAATTGCTCGAAACTGTCATGTGCTGAAATAGTGATGAATAAAATTTTTGTTAAAAATCTGTTCAAACTTTGTATTAAACAAAATCCTTTCAGTTTCTTTTAGATTTCATTTTATGGATCCGAAAGCAAACTTTTGTTCGATCAAACTTTTGTTTTAAAATATTTTTCCTTAAAATATTCTAATCCTTAAGATATTCTCCACACCATACCGTAGTGGATATTTTCGGGACAATTTGCGGTGACTTGTCTACACATAGCCGGCATTAAGTCGTTCATAAGTTGACAGATATTCTTTTTTAAAGCAATAATTCTTATCAGACGTTGAAAAAAATTCAAATAAAATATATTAAAGTTATTTAAAACTGAATTATATTTAAAATTATTAATTAATTAAATGTAAATAAAAAAAAGTATGTCCACTTTAAAACAGCTTTAAGAATATCAGTTAAGTTTTTGATACGGTTTCGAATATTGATTATAAATTAATCGTTGTTTATTTTTAGAGTTTTGATTAGTTCTTCGTAATCGAAATCTTCATCACTGTTCGGATTCATAAAGAATTTGATAATTTCACCGATTTGTTCATCGGTTATATCTCCGCCCAACATCCAAGCCACATTTATGAGTTGATTAAATCTAATAAAGCCGTGTTGATTCTGGCTGATGTAGCAAAGAAACTCCGAAATGGCTTTTGAATGGTCACATTCACCATTTATATTAAATGCAGTAAATTCGATGAATTCCTTAAAATTTAAGCAACCATCGAGATCAATTATTTGGAATGTTTGTAGCACCGGGTGCTCATTTGCAGTACCGTCAGAGATAGGGATGGATTGGTCAAATTCCTGTGGCAACATTTTTACATAAACATTAATATTTATATTAACCAGTTCAAAGAGTTGTTTCAGAGAAGTTTATACATTATTGTAGCTTACTTTTGATTCACCCATTTTAAAAACAAAATGACTATTAGAATTTGTTGGCTTTTGCTAGTGATGTAAAATGAATCCTCTGATTGAGCCTAAAATAAAATTAAATGATAAATACACAACTCTTTATTTTTTACTAAGAACAAAATTTGGTAACTTACTGAGCAAATTTATTTTTAAAATCGTTCTTAAATTAAAAATGATTAATTTTCCACCCAGATAAGCAACAATTCATATGTGAATGGCAGTATTCTATTAAATAATTGAGAAATGTCAGCAACATCGACATTTTTCACCTTGCGTGGTGAAAATGAAATTTAAAGTGACCATTGGTTGGTTTTTTTGTTTGTGTTTATTTCTTAATTTAAAAGAAATCTGGAACATAATTGAAGAAGGGAAACTAATGAAGTCCAGAAATATTTTTTACTTCTAAACTAATTTTAATATTAGAAACTTAACTATTAACTTTTCTTAATTAACTTAACTTAATTAACGTTTCTATAAAAACATAACATATTGTATGCTTTTATATTTAATATATGTGCAAATAATAATGTTTTTTAATTAGGGATAAGTCTTGGGTAATGATATATTTATTTATTGTACAAATCCACAAGTACAAATTAAAATAAATTGCACCGAATTGCTGCAAAACTTTTCACATGTTGAATATTATCGTTCATTCATTGAATATTATTGTTCAGTCATTGGTTTGTAAAAGCATAGGAAAACACCAAGGAAACAGCTGTTGACATCACCAAACTATGTTGGAATACTGTGGTGAGTTTATTAGTCTCTTTTTTTGTGGAGTTTGGAAATTCATTTTCTGAAATCAGTCGATCTGTTTTTATCACAGCAAAGATTTTGGCTTAGAATTCATTGGATAGATTCGTAAGATATAACATTTTCTTATATTGTTTTGAGTTCTGTGCTTACTTATATCATTTTCGACGGTATAGAGAAATTATTTTTCCCACTCGAGTCTCGACGGTTATAAAACCATGCTTAAAGATTATTTTTTTCGAAATCAATTAATTTTTTCGCAATTTTTTTTTAATATGAGTATAAAAAAAAAATTTGGTCTAATATTTAATTATTTTTAAATTTTATTTTTCTACACCTCACTTAGTGTTTTATTTAGAAACACTTTCAGAGAGAAGTGGGCTAACCTTGTGTCAGGTTACAACATTACTCTAAAACTTAGCTCATTCTGCTTAATTATCTTAATCGTGTTTATACGATATAAACACTTAACTTATATAAAGTTAAGAGTTTAGATTTAAATTTTTAGAGTTGAGCGAAGAATTAAACAAAAGCAAAAACAAAAGCAATTTTGGTTTTTGTCAAATATTTTTGACATTTGCTTTTCAATATGATTCATCTTCCATATTGTATGAATTAATAATAATAATTAATAAACATATATAATAAAAATGTTTCCCAATATGACATTTAATTAGATTCTTTCTGCTTCACGGGTTTATTCTCTTTTTATGTTTATTAAAACTTTCACCTGGGATAAATGCCAGGAAACCAAGGTATTTTTTGGGAAAGCATTTACTTAATCAAATAAGTATGCGCTTATCAAGCATAGATTTTGTAGAGATTTTAAATAGCAAATTTGACTTATCGAGTTTATTCTAGAAATGAGGTCAGACACACCTTAATTTCGCAAAAATCTTAATTTCGTTTTCGTTTCAGCGAAACTAAGTTCATTTTTCCATACAAAATTCAATTTTAAGGTTATAACTGAATTATGAAAAATGGTCATAATTTCGTTGAAACGAAGGCTGAAATTAAGGCACATTTCAAATGCAACTATGCATAAGTAAAATTTTAAGCAAAAGATAGATAAAGAAGATTAAGAAAAATAGTAATTCACATATCTTAAATTCACTAAAGCTAATAAAACTACTGAATGTCATACTTTATAGTTATAATAATCAATTTTTAAAATTTTGCAGATTTTTCACATTCGATTTTTATACCAAAAACATATGATTTTCTTCATTTGAGGCAGAATGAACACCTTCCAAATTAACTTAACTTCATTTCAACACGATTAAGAAAATTTGGCGGTCTGAACATAGCATTAGTAGCAACCTTTTTTAAAAATGGTTTTAAAAAACGGTTTTAGTTGTTAATACTTTTGTATTTTGACTTCATATACACATATACACATACCAATGTTATTCATTCCATGTCATATTTTAATGAAAGACATGTATCGGTGTCACCACTCATTTTTATTTAAAATCAGTAAACACATTCCATGCGTCCATCTGAATAATTCTTTACGCTAACAAATTTATAACATTGAACATGTTTAAAAAGTGGTTTTAGCATTGAATCTCAATTAAACATGTTTGCAGTGTTGGAGTTATACATGTTTAACTTGGGAGTTATACATGTTTAACTTGGGAGTTATACATGTTTAACTTGGGAGTTATACATGTTTAACTTGGGAGTTATACATGTTTAACTTGGGAGTTATACGTGTTTAACTTTGGAGTTATACGTGTTTAACTTGGGAGTTATACATGTTTAACTTTGGAGTTATACATGTTTAACTTTTTGTACTAAAAAAATTTTTTTGTAACAGTTGATTTATTCAAATCTGATAGTTAACTTCAAATATTCAATTAAAATTGTTCAATATTGCAATCAATCTATTTTATTGGAATTAAATTTTATAATTTTGTTTTCTTCTTTGAAAATGGAATGATTTATTTTCGTTTGAAATTGGCTGCTATTGTCGCTTATTACTATAAATTTTTGTTTTACTGTAGTTTAAATATATATATTTTTAAGTGAAAAATTAAACTAAATTTTGATTCCTTCACCGAAATCCCATTGCAAAATTTTACAAACAATTCAAGGATCGAAGCTGGTGTAATGAAACAAAAGTGAGGACGACAACAGGAAAATGTAGAATGAAAAGTTCAACTAAAACCGGATGTGCAGCAATAAAGATAACAGTAATCTGCTGTTCCTCCTTTTACTCCTCCTTGCATATATATATTTTCTTATTATAACTATTATATCCCTTTTTTAATTTTTTTTTAGCGAAAACATTGAAAAAATGTCAGCAGTATTAAATTGCAGTTTTGAAGAATATTTTTGCATTTTTTTTTTACTTAAAGTTTTATTTAAAATACAATTCAAAAGTTTGAATTATGTAAAAATCTTCAAAGAGTTCAGAAATAAAATTTTCACAAGGATAATATTTAATTTGTTGCTACACGCAATTACTCAACACGAAAATAGAGTGAAATAATTGGTTAAAGAGAGTAAAGATATGTTTCTACTGCTACTTAGTAAGTGTAACTTACTTAATCAATTTCGTTAAACATACAAAGAGCTTTCGTGCTTTTTAACTTACTTATAAATAAAATAGAGAAAATTGCACCAAAAATGTCGAATATAATCCTTAAACATAAATTTCCCAGAAGGGAAATTACCAAAATTTGAAATATTCATCTTATGTCTTATATGTAAAATGTAAACAAACAACAGCTGAGCTGTAAACAAACGCACTAACGAAGTAAGTATTTAATAAAATCTTTGTTTTTATTAATTGAATATGTAATGGATTGTAATATATATAAATGATTTAATATATCTATTATTTATTTAATTTTTTGTGTGATATATTAGTAAGTAAAGTTTATTAGACCAAATAGAAGCTCTCTTATAACTTTCAACGAACTTTCTCACACATAAAAACTCTTTCACATGCAGTAAGTAACTTATGTCAATGGAAACGATAAAAACTTAAAGTTACTTAAGTAACTAACTTAGTAAACAGTAGAAACATTGTATAAGGAAAGTTTGTCGAATTATTAATTTTGTGGTTGCATTACAATTTTACATGTCATCTGATAATCACCACGTAGTGCAATTCATAAAACTTTAAGAATAAACGTAGTATATATATATTTTAGTTTTTGTATGCAATTCCCATACATTGGGCTAAGAGGATATATTCAATTCCTCAAAGTTAGTTACAGTACGTCTACACTATTGCATTTAACACTATTTCGATATTAATTCGATAAATGTGGAGCAATTATTGTCATCATATTATATAAAATAATGTTTAAGATAATTGGGATAAAACACAAAAATTATTTTTTTTTTTGCATTCTATTTAGAGAGCAATCGAATAAATGGAATGTTACTACTTTGAAACAAATAAATCCAAGTCATATTGAAAAATAAACTAATAATCATCTGAAACCAAAAGTAGGTATTACGTCAGGAGGCCGTTATGACGACAAACCTCTAGCATCAGTGGTGTGTTTATCAGTTTCTGTTCAGTTGAGTCACTTTCTTCATTTCTTTACAAATGTATTGAGGATGCTGTAGCTTTTCTGCTCTAAAATGAGAGCACTACAAAAGTAAGTGACAAATGTTCTCCTCTCATATGGGGGGACTGAGCAACACCATATATATGACTATTGTCTAAAATAGCTTTCCTATTCTACAGTTGCGTTATATATAAATTGGTTTTCATAATTTTCATAATTGTAACATCATTCAATAGTGTGGGCTTAAGCTTTTATATTTAAGGGACACTGCGCGTAACTCTGTATTATCTTACCTTATCTTCACTCTCGTAGAATTGTAGCAGGTTTTCAAAGTGATATAAAATTATCTTTAGCGAATAGTCACGAGGACTCACTACATTGATGGATTTCATTACCCTGAGGCAGCTAGTAGAATTAAAGAGATTTTTATTTTCGAGGGTTGTTGCAGTATTACTTTTCGTCCTATCGCCATCTTTTTCCACTTATAGTCTTTCCCACTGTAACATAGGCATGACAAATTATGTTGTTAAAATTCTTCCCAAATTAACGTCATCGAAAACTTAACTTTTGCGGTGAACTTTTGCGATCCTTGCGAAGTCTTGAAGTCAATGGAGGATATTTTATGTTTGCGATATTGTATGTCATGGTCTGTTCTACTGTGGAGGGCCTCCTAAACGTTATTGTAAGGTTGAAGATGTTTTCATGTGAGGGTTTACTGTTCTCTACAGAGTTGAATGGTTGTTAAGATATATGTTCACTAAATAAATTAAATAATTTATGGCATTTCATAATTGTGTTCCTATATTAGTTGCTCTAAGTTAAGTACGCAAAGAGAACAAATAACTTAATTTTTTTTTGTTTTATTTAAATAATAAATATAATTGTTTGCATTTCTTTCTATCTGCAGCAGCTCTGGAATATTTATGCACTCTTCTACTCCTACTGAAAATTATTCGCTTTTCAGAGCAGTGTCTGGCTGCGCGGCAACATTATAACTGTGAGGCCACTAAAAGGACGCTCTTCATAGTGACTGCAGCTTGAACTTCTGCCTATTGAAATATTTAATGTTAATTTAAATAAAATAAAATGCAGACTATAAGATTGCTTTATAAACACTGTAAGGATTAAAAAAATAAGTTAAAAATTATGGGAAAAGTTCGTTTCACAATTGAAAAAACTCCATTTGAGCCATTCGTTCTATTAACAGCTTAACAAAATCCTTAACGCAACTAACCGGTTAAAAATGGGCTAAGAGTAAGGCATAAAAAACGATTATTTATAAAACTATCATTTATTTAATAGCCCTTAAAGTGAAATTATCTTGAGAGAGTTCACTCCAAAAATAAAGAAGAAAAAAGTTTATTAAAGAGAAGAAAGTAGTACATTAGTTGCGCTGTAGGTAAATTTATGCACAAATATTTTCCAAAGAATTTTCATGGTTTGTGGAAATAATTTAATGTATGAGTAATAAAGTTAGAGATAAAAAGGGCAAGGAGAAAGATTTTTAACTGCAAAACAAATACTTTTGTAATAAAATAATGAAATTGCTTTTAGTGCTCAGTTGTGGTATGTTGCCAAGTAACCGACAGAGCAGTACGAGTATACGAATATATAGTAAGGTACTAAGAAAAACTGCTGGTTTCCATCATTTTTCTTGTGCTTTGTAGTAATACTCATAAAAGTTCACTTAACAAAACGTATTACTGTAATATACTTATTGTGTAATTTTGCAACTTTTATCAAAAATGCATACATCCTTTAAAATGTCAACTACTTACTGCTTAATGCACATATGCGCAAACGAAACCAACAGCAGCTCATCCTCTGTGGGAACGGCGGCAGAGGCTGCAGGATATCCTTAATAATGGAGTACTTATATGCTCTTTTCAAACCCGCTCCCAGAACACTAAATATGCAATGGTATAAAATTTAATATTATTTGAAGTTTTAAGTTAAGTACAGAAACAGTGAAATTCTTTAATTAAATCCCTTTCAAACGCTTGCAAAAACTCTTCCATAGGAAGTGCTTGCAGTTTTTAGTGCTTCACTTGTGTTAGATGGAAATTTTCTATATGAAAAAACTGCAAAGTAAAATTACATTTACTTATTCCATAAGTTTTTTTCTTGTGGTTTTCATGTGACTTTTCACATCACACAGATTTTCTATTCATTATTAAATTACTTTACATATTTTTATTTTTTGTTTATCTCTTCATTAGACTAAGTAATAGTTGACTTCAGATCTGCATACCTTCTCGAGGAGCCTGTAACGATTCTGAGACTCGTTAACGCAGTGTTGGTATGCCTGTCAGTTCTCTTAAATAATTTCAGAGCTCTATTCTCTATGTATTTCTTGATCAGATTAATCTTAAGGTCCCTGAGGATGTCATTCGTCCTAATGTATCATAGTACCTTGAAAAGTCTTTCTAAAACCTGATTTTGTGCAATTTCTAACAGGCGAATAGTAGTGTTTGAGGCCTTACTAAATGCTACACATCCATATAGTAATGACGGTCGAATTGTTTGTTTATATAACAGCTTTCTGTTTATTTTTGAATAGCGGTTAGAGGTGATGATGGTAATTATGATTTTAAAAAACTAAACTATTTCTACAGTTAAGTTCTACACTTAGGTTAAGTTAGATTATATCGGAAGTACCTAGGTGATCCACTTAGACCTATTGTCCATTGTGTTATCGTATATTAAGGAAAATTTAGAGCTTAAAGCCAACTAGATCCTTTGTCGAAGCTTCAAGTGTTGTTTAGTCGCAGGTCTTGTAAATGATCAAGATCCTCAAGAAAGAAGGCTCCTAAAGTGTTGAGTTACCGCCGTGGATGAGTAGCAGCAGTTAAAAGTTGTCTAAATTCTAATTTATACATGCAATTATCATTGTAATAACATTCTTTCATCATTTAATGCAGACATATATATAATGCTTCCAGGTCGTCTCTTCTATTTCTTCTATAAGCCTCTAACTTAAGCTATCCGAAACTCAACAATTTGTTCTAGATTTGTCTAAGTTACTTACCATACTACAACACTGTCCAGTCCAGAGCAAATACTACAATAGCTTCATATAAATCGAACAGTCCATGCAGGTCATACAGTTGATTCTAAAAAATCTATATAAGACTCTAATCTCTGCAACCAACGTCGACCAGTTCAATCCAGTCCAGACAGAAGATAAAAATAGTATGTAAAATGAAAAAGTTAAGGAAAACTGTTGATAATAAAAGTTTAAGTAATTATAGTAACTATAAATTGTGAGTATATATATAATAATAAATTGTAATTAGTGGTAAATAGT